TCAATAAACGACATTCTTAGCAGTGGAGAAAAGATTGAAGTTGTCAAGGACTTCATTCTTCTTGGATCAACTGTCAACACTCATGGAAGCAGCAGTCAAGAAATCAGATGATGTATTGCATTAGGCAAATCTGCTGCATGAGACCTTTTTAAAGTATTGAAGAGCAAAGACGTCAGTTTGAAGCCTAAGGTGAGCCTGACCCAAGCCATGGTATTTTCAGTAACCTCATATGCATGTGAAATTTGCACACTGAATAAGGAAAACTGTAGAAGAATTGATGTTTTGAGTTATGGTGTTGGAGGAGAATATTGAAAGTGCCATGGGCTACCAAAAGAACCAACAGATCCATGTTGGAAGAAGTGCAGCCAGAGTGTTCCTTGCAGGCCAGGATGGCCAAACTTTGTCTCTTATACTTCAAACATATTGTCAGGAGGGACCAGTCTCTGGAGAAGGATATCATATTTGGTAAGGTGGAGGGTAGAGAAAAAGAAGATTCCCAAGTTCAATCGTAGCAACAATTTGTGAGGTTGGCCCAGGACTGGACAGTGTTTCGTTCTGTCGTACATAGGACCGCTATGAGTCGGTACCGACTTGATGGCACGTAACAACAACCAAATGACTTAAATTTCAACTCATATTGCTTGTTAACAGATTCCATTTCAAAAGTCTTTGGAAAAGCAGGAGGGGAAGGACTGAAACTTGGAATGGGAATACTTCAGATTAGGCACCTACCCAAGGGGCCCTGGTAGTGCAATGGTTAAGCACTCAGCTGTTAACCAAAAGGTGGTTAAAACCCAATCATCTTTCTGAGGGGAAGAGATGCCAGGAGATTGGTTCCTGTAAAGGTTTTAGCCTAGGAAACTATGGGGCAGTTGTATTTTGTCCTGTAAAGTTACTGAAACCACTCATTGCCATTGTTCCTTAGGGTTTCTGAGACTAAATCTTTACAGGAACAGATAGGTTTGTCTTTTTTCCTCGGGACAGCTGGTGGGTTTGAATGGCCTGCCTTAAGTTAGCGATTCAATGTTGATCCCACAGCGCCATGAGTTGGAATTGGTGGTACAAAACAAAACATATGCAGCGCTCGTGGAAGCTGGGTGTGATCTTATGAGGACCCTATGGGAACATGGGAGGAGAGAGGCCATTATCTAGAAAGTGCTCTGACAATCTGGAATCCCTTATTCCCTGTCTTTCCGACCTGGCCCAGATAGTAGTCTTCACATCCAAACTACCATAGTTTTATAAGACAGAAACCGTGTAGCTCTCAGCTTAGGAACAAAAAATAAAACAGACCTATCATTTTAAAAAAACTATGGAATTTATTAAACATTGAATTAAAATTTCCAACCCATCTAAAGAAGAACCTGGGGAACACCCTTTATTCCACTCCAGGTGCCCCCTAGGCCTTTCCCAACCTCAGTAAAAAACCCCATGTTAGCTGCCCACAGAATGGTTAGCAAAGACTAAGAAGCAGCGAAGCTTCCTAAGCGACAGATGCTTGGTTCATTGCCAAGAGGATCCCCTTCCTGGAGAAGTTCCCTCTGGTTCATTCAGTCTCAGCACCAGTTCAATGTTCCAGCCCTCTGGACCAGTTGACATCTGGCTGACTGGGAGGCACACAACCTATTCCTTCAAAACATCATCGAGTAAATCTAAGACCAAATCCTCCTTCTGTTCTTGTAGTGTTTCACAGAACCGATGCATGCCTAGAGGATCCAAATTGGGACAGAGAAATCTTTAGTGGGTTGACAGGAAGGCCCCATACATACCCATATCTTCTTGGTAGATTGATCACTGAGCTACTCAAGTGATTCTCCCAATTCGGAATTGTAACTCTCCCTTCTTTGGGGATGGATTTTAAGTCTACAGATACATTCCCAATGGTTCTCATGTCTCACTAACCTGTCAGATACCTCAAAGTCTTATATCAAATCCTGTACTTTGGCTAATAGCCTTAGCCTTGACCTCATCAAGATTCCCATGCCTCTGGAGTCCCGGTGTGGCACTGTAGTATAAGCACTGGACAGCTAACCATAAGGTTGGCAGTTCAAAACCACCAGTGTGGAAACCCTAAACAGAGTCACTGAGTCAGAACTGACTCAACAGCACTTAACCACAGCAATAGTGTCTTCAAAATGTACCCTGTGGTACAGTGGCTAAAGAGCTCAGCTGCTAAATCAAAAGTCAGCAGTTCAAATCCACCAGGGGCTCTACACTCTAAGTTAGAACTGACTTGGTGGCAATCTGTTCTCCACACTAGCCAAAGAGATACTGCTGCAACATCAAAGTCAACCTTGCCTTATTCTCAGCTCCATTCCCGACAGGTAGGATAGTGCCTTGCATGCAATAAATACTATTATCAAAGTTAATGTAACACTTTCCAAAAAGCTCCGGAGGAGAATCTGAACTCCGTAGAGTAATATGCAAGAATGGAACTTCCATCATTTCTGCTACTAGACTGCAAGGCCCACAGGGCTGAGTACCACTTTGTAGTGGCTTAAACAGACTCAGTGCCTTATCCAACACCAGACATTACCTGGAGTAGGTATGTATCAGTTCCTGTTTACAAAAGCATTTAGTTAAAGATATGAAGATAGAAACAGGATGAGATAGAGGCTGCTGAAAGCAAAGAGGGACAATTCGGGATGGATTACAGAGAAATTGATGGGTCACCTTTGAAGAAGTCAGGATTAGGAGGTCAGCACCACTCACCCTGTTTCAGCCTGTAGGGTTTATCTGCAAAGACAAGGCGGAACCAGCCTGGTTCCTTACACATGTAGGACTTGCCACAGGACACCAGCACCTTGTTATCCACGAAGCGACGATGAAGGGCTTGCTCTTCTTCAAACGTACATGAGTGCAGGTACTAGAAGAGGCAGAGTGACAATTCTTAGCCCAGGGTCCATTTGCTAGGCCTACCCCAGAATGCTTTTCCTCATTCCAAGACCTTACTTTTTTCAAGTTCATCCAGATGTAGAGGCCAGAGTTACGATTGAGAAAGGGGATTTCCAAACTTGTCAGCTTGTCTGTGACATACTTGTGAGCTTCCTGGAGCCGTGAGTGATAAGCAAACAGGTATACATTGTCAATCCAACCTGGATGGGTTTGGGCAGAGAGCTATCATAGGTCTTGTGTCAGATCTACCAAACAATTCCTTGCCAAATGCTTCCTACCAGGGCTTAATGCCAGTTCTATCCAAGAGCTATTGGTATCCATATATGTTATTATTGTTATGTGCCGTGGAGTCGGTTCCGACTCATAGCAACCCTACATAGGGTTCCCGAGGCTGTAAATCTTTACGGGAGCAGACCACCTCATCTTTCTCCCGCGGAACCGCTGGTAGTTTTGAACTGCTGACCTTGTGGCTCGCAGCCCGATTCGTAACCACTACGCTACCATACCCCTTTTATCTGTGGCTTGGGTAGAAACTTTGAGTTTCTCATTAGTTTAATAGAAATGCTCTGATTGCATTTATATCCCAAAGGCAGGGAGAAAGTATAAAGGAAGAGTATCACTTTGAGAAATTGATGCTCCTGGTATCAACTGTTTAAGTAGCAGAGCTTTATATTTCCTGCCTTTTTGAGTTTCACACAATGCACGCTGAGGAACCTGGACAGGTTGAAAGCATCCCTAAACCTAATTGTTCTCTGTACTGCAAGCATATTAGAAAATCTTGAAGCTGTATCATAAAACTTTTCAAGTATTAAAGGAAAGAATCCTAAGAACAGGAAAATGAATAGTTACCTACAAAGGAAAACCAGTACAAATAAACTCCAATTTCTTAGCAGATAGTATTCAGGCAAGAAGGCAATAGAAGACATTATTAACTCTTAAAGAAAAAAAATTGCCAACCAAGAATCACACACAGCAAAACTGTCTTTCAAGTACGATGGCAAAATTAAACATTTCCAGATAGAGAAAAATTAAAGAAATTTGTAATAACTAGACTAACTTTATAAAAAGTACTAAAGGGAGTTCTTTGGACTGAGAAACAATGAAAACAGACAGTAATCTATGATTAATAAAAAGCAGCAACTTCACCCAGAAGTCAATCCAGATATAAACATTGTTGTTAAATGCCATTGAGTCGGTTCCAATTCATAGCAACCCTGTATAGGGTTTCCAAGGAATGCCTGGTGAGCTTGAACCACCAACCTTGCAATTCAAACCCGATCATACAGTCCAGTGCATTTGACCCACAGCACCACACCAGGACTCTAGACAGAAACATAACCAATGTAAAACAAACCTACAAAGCTTGAAAAAGGGAACCAGAGATTTCCATTTATAACGAATTCAGCTGCAAAGCAAAAAGAGGAAGAGTAGTTATAGAACTTCCGAGTGGTCAGTAAATAAAGTAAATTTCAAGATAAATCAAACTGTTTGAAACTAGGGGACACATTACTAGGTGATCTCAAAGAAAATACACCTTCACATCAAAATAAAGATATAGATTAATGGAATAGAATTGAAAATCCAGAAGTAATTCCATCTACATATAGTCAGCTGACAAAAGGGCCTAAACACATTAAATGGAGAAGAGATCATCTCTTCAACAAAATGTTGCTAGCAAAACTGGAAATCCATTTTTAGAAAAAAAAAAAAAATCCGTATCTCATGCCAGATTTAAAAAAACATGCATTAAAGACCTAAATATAAAACCTAGAACTATAAAGATGAAAAAAAGAAATAGGGACATACCCAAGTGCTCTGATACAAGGCATATAAACAGTAACAGACATAACTGAAAGCAGGCTGAAAAGCCGAGAACAAAATGGATGACTGGAATCTTCTAAAAATTAAGACACCTAAGTACATCAAAAGATTTCACCGAAAGAGTAAGAAGAGCCCAGATTTGGAAAGATGTGGTTTTTCTGTAATGACATTAAACAAGGAACTCATCTCTGAAGTTGATATGACATTTCAACACCTCTAGATGTCAAGTAATCCCATTTAAAAACAGACAGGACATGAACAGAAACTTCAAAGACATTTAGGCATCCAATGAATATATTAAGAAATGTTCACAATCGTTAGAGGAATGCAAATCAAAACAATGCTGTTAATGCTTGGGTGAGAAGATATCTCAAAGTTCAAAAAAAATGCTGGTAGAGGTGTGGAGAGACTGGGACACCCTCCTAACACTGCTGGTGGAGTTGTAAACTGGTATAATCACTGTGGGAAAAGTATGGCTGTTCCTAGACAGAAATATCACTACCATGTGACTCAGCAGTCCTACTTGGTATATTCAAGAAATAAGAATCTTGACATTAATAGATACATGCAGACCCATGTTTATCACAGCCCTATCCATGGTAGCAAAAACAACTGAGACAGTCTAATGTCCACTAATGAATGACTGGATAAACTTTGATACATACACACAATGGAACTCTATGCAACATTGAAGAATAACAATGAATCAGAGAAACATTGCCTAGCATGGATGAACCTGGTGGGCATTGTTACTGTGTTAGGTGTCAAGTCAGTTTTGACTCATACTGACATTATGCACAATAAAATGAAACGCTACCCGGTCCCATGCCATATTCGAAATTGTCATGCTTTAGCCTAGTGCTGCACCCCACTGTGCTGGTCCATCTCACTGGGGTTCTCTTCCTCTTTTTCACTGACCTTCCCCAGGGACTGGTCCCTCCTGAGAATATGTCCGAAGTATGAGACAAGAAGTCTGACCATCTTGGATTCTAAGGGGAACATTCTGGTTGTACTTCTTCCAACATAGGTTTATTTGCTTTTTTAGTAGCTCGTGGTCCTTTCAATATTCTTCTCCAGCACCATAATTTTTCTAAGATCTGCTTTTATTCATTGTCCAACTCCCATATGTATTATGGGACTATTGAAAATACCACGGCTTCGGCTGGCCAAGTCTTCAAACTAACATCTTTGTTCTTGAATACTTTAAAGGTCTGTACAGATTCGCCTAGTGCCATCAATCATCCCATTTCTTGTCCTGGAATACTCCTCTAGGATAAGGCCATGAACCGCATGGTCAGTTTGAGCTACAAGGTCGGAGGTTCAGACTTACCAGACTCTCCTTGGAAACCCTATACAGGGACACTGAATTGGAATCAACCACAGCATTTAACATCTTCCATGATAGATGGCCCATGAAAAATAATGAAGTCTTTGACAATTTCAATCTTTTCTCCATTTATTACATTGTTTTTTATTGATCCAGTGGTGAGGATTTTTGTTTACTTTACATGGACGTGCAACCCATACTGAAGGCTGTGGTTCTTGGATCTTCATTGGTAAGTATTTTAAGTCCTCTGTGCTTACAGCAAGTACAGTTGTATCACAGGTTGTTATTGAGTCTTCCTCCAATTCTAATGCCATGTTCTTATTAAAATCCAGCTTCTTGGATTATTTACTCATACACATTAAGTATGGTAAAATAATACAACCCTGGTGCACACCTCTCCTGATTTTAAACCATTCAATGTCCCCTTGTTCTGTTCAAGTAACGGCCTCTTGGTCTATGTACAGGTTCCTCGTGAGCACAATTTGGTGTTCTATAATGCTCAATCTTTGCAATGTTATCCATAGTCAATAAAGCACAAGTTAACATCTTTCTGCTTTCAGTCAAGATCCATCTGACATAAGCAATGACACCTCTAGTTCTATTTTCTTGTCTGAATCTGGTTTGTACCTCTGGAAGTTCCAGAGGTCAATGTAATTTTGTTGTCGTTTTTAAGTTAACTTCATCAAAACTTTGCATGTGATGTTAATGGTATTGTCCAATGATTTCCACATTCTGTTGGGTCACCTTTCGTTGCAAAGGACACAAGTATGGATCTCTTCCCATCAGTTGGCTAAGTAGCCATCTTCTAAATTTCTTGGCGTAGATGAGTGAATGCCTCCAGCACCACATTAGTTTATTGAAAGATTTCAATTTTGTATTCTATCAATTCCCAGAGCCTTGTTCTTTACCAATGTTTTCAGTGCACCTTGGACTTCTTTCTTTAATAACCATTGGCTCTTGATCATATGCTATCTCTTGAAATGGCTGAACATCAACCATCTGTTTTTGGTACATTGACTCTGCTTCTTTCATTTTCTGTATCATTCAATAGTTTGCCCACAGAACTCATCAATATTTCAAGGTAAGGCTTGAATTTTCTTCTCCAGTTCTTTCAAGCTTGAGAAATGTTAACTTTTCTAACTCCAGGTCTCTGCACATTTCATTATAATATTCTACTTTGTCTTGAGCTGCCCTTTGAAATTTTATTTTCTGCTCATTTACCCAATTTCTTCCATTTGCTTTAGCATCTTTATGCTGGAGAGCAAGTTTTCAGAGTCTCCTCTGACATCCATCTTTTCCTTCTTTCTTGTCTTCTTAATGACCGTTTTATTTTCTTCTTATATAATGTTCTTGATGTCATTGCACAACTTTAGTTTTTTTCTTCAGATGATCTCTAAATTCAGGTGGGATATGCTCAAGATCATATTTTGGTTCTCATGGACTTGTTTTAATTATCTTCAGCTTCAATCTGAATTTGCATTTGAGCAATTGATGGTCTGCTCCACAGTCTGTCGCTGGCCTTGTTTTGGTTGATGATATGAGTGTTTTCTATCTTCTCTTCTACAGATTAAGAATTTGATTTCTGTTTTTTCCATTTGGTGAGGTCCATGTGTAATGTCTTCTTAATGTTGTTTTAAAAAGGTACTTGAAATTAGTAAGTGTTGTGATCGCCAGTGTCATTTATATTACACCACGGCCATTATCTTCCAACTCTGATCCTTGCTCTTTGTTTCTAACCTTTGCATTCCAGTCAGTTATCAATACATCTTTATTTCATGCTTCATCACAGTGTCAACTGAATTTGATGGAGGGGATTGTAGTCATTGCAAGGAAACAATGATTTGTTGAATGTAAAATTGTTGATCTGCTTCTGTAACCTTCACTCAATTCACAAAAGTTAAGTAAATGTATATATCTTAAAATGTTCTTGACATTCCTCTTCAATTTGTCATTCCTGGAAGAGTAAGCCATGTGGTTGGCAGATTCAAAATTACCAAATACTAGTTCTTTGTAGCTTACTAATGCCTAGCACATTGTCAAATGAAATGGGAA